CCTTAGTTCATCCTCTGTAGGTATGAAGTACCTTTACTCCAGTTATACGTCTATTGCTGGGGAGAGGCGACACTTGTGTTCTTCCAAAGATCATGGTTTTGGAAGTCTGCCTGTGATCTTAATGCTGTTGCCTGTTGCAGTGGCAGCAGGAGGAGGTTAGGTGATGGGTGAATTAGGGATGGGGGGGATGTTCATAAATATGTCAGCCAAGCCACTACCTACACATTCATATTGTATACGATTGTATAATTTACCATCGCTACTTAAATAAATCACCCTAGTTGGATATAGAAAGTCAGTTCCAACATCCTATATTGCTTTCCCTTTCTCCAGCATTACAGGTTCTCTTTATTTACGATTGCACTTAGTACACAGGTAGTTTTTATAGTGAAGGTGTACAATAAATTAGATAAGGGGACTCCAAACTTTCTGAAACAGAGGGCCAGTTTACTGTCTTTCAGACTCTAGGGGGGCCGGGCTGTGGCCACTGGTAGTAGAAAAGGTCCTGATGTCAATGGGGGGAAAAAAACCTCTTTGGTATCAGTAGGAGGTATAGTGCCCCTTCATTGCGGTCATTGGGAGGATTGGTGCCAGTGGGGCCCATTGTTGGTGTCTGCGGGAGAAATTGTTCTCCTTCATTGGTGTCCTTAGTTTGTTAGTGGGGAGAACTCTGCTCCATTGTTGCCATCGGTGGATGAAATATTGCCCCAAAGGACAAAAGCAAGCAAGGGGATGTATCTGGCCCCCGGGCTGCAGTCTGGAGACCACTGAATTCTATTAACAGAAATGCTGCATTTGCTACACCTAGTGTCTTTTGGGATCTATCGTGTGATCATATTATACTGAAGGGCTTAATGAAAAATTGATAACCTTACCCAGCATGCACTTCTTTTCTCCAGAGGTTTCTGTAACCTGCCCTGTGGCAGATTATGGTAGTTATTCAGGCTGGGACCTTTTGATCTGCATGCAGATGGCTGCCTTGCGTTGACAGGTGACCCAGAGCAGCCAATAATATTTGAAAACGTGAAGGCTGGTGGGCAATGGTCAGATGGGTAATGTCATGTCTAGGAGAAGATGTATCTGGAAGGTGGACCTGGGCAGCAACGGAAGGCGGTTCCACTGACATAGTTGGAAGGGCATTTTGCTTAATGTCACATTGGCTTCTGCACACGTCCAGCCCCAGTTTCAGGTCGTCGGGGGTTAAACATGCGTAGGGGGGCAGTAGATATAGCCCGCAGCAGGGCAGATATTTACAGTTGTGCTGTAAGTGGAGACGGCATGCTGTTATCTTGGAAAGGTCAGAATTGTATGTACACTAAATATAATCCAATCTCTCAGCGTGCAGACGTGTCAGATTCATCGGCTAAAAATACCACAGAATTCCTGGCCAACACTGTACAGGTCCGGTCCAAGCCACACACTGGTCAGAAGAGGAGGATTCTGGGTGGTGGTCTGGTGTCCAGTATAGCAGGCTGACTGCTTGCTGCATCCTCTTCTTATAGCCTCCAGGCCAGTGTAAGACGAGTGTCTGCAGGATTAGGTCAGGAGGTCCCAAATATCTAGTTTCCCATCTTACTTCGCAGCTTATGTTACAGTATATGCCAGTTATTGGCTGTGTATGGCCTTGCAGTACTGGGGTCCTGGGTTCAGTTACAACCTTGGCTCTGCCTGCATGCATTTTGCATGTTTTGCCCATGTTTGTGTGACGTTCTTTCCTCGATTGGAAAAACTTAACTGGAGGAGCTTTTGTTGGTCCCTATGTGATACAGCATGGAGACACCAGATTATACATTCCTCCATGGATTAGTTTAGTCCAAGGTTCTCCAAACTGCGGCCTGTGACCCGGATGTGGCCTTTTGCTTTTCCTTTTTCCGACCTTGGTTCACCATTCCTTCCACTGACACCAGAAATGGAACACTATTCCTCCTACTGACACCAACAATGGATTAATATTCCTCCCACCGACACCAGAGATGGAGAACTATCTCTCCCACTGACACCAATGATGTAATTTTTTTTTTACTACCACTGACCACCAAGCCTGTGGCACTATTTACTCCCACCGATGCCACTGGCCACAGTCCGGGCAGTAAACCAAGGCCAGTCTTCTGTCCTTCAGACTTTATGGGGACCTGATTGTGGCCAGGGGGGTAGAAAATGTCCCAGGCGCATCATTAGTGAGCATAAACATGGCCTCAGGGTTGGTAGTCCGTAGGAGGAGGAGTAGTGCTCCATCTTTGATATTAGTGGGAGGAATAGTGCCCCATCGTTGGCGTCAGTGGGAGGAATAGTTCCCCATCGTTGGCGTCAGTGGGAGGAATAGTTCCCCATCGTTGGCGTCAGTGGGAGGAATAGTTCCCCATCGTTGGCGTCAGTGGGAGGAATAGTTCCCCATCGTTGGCGTCAGTGGGAGGAATAGTTCCCATCGTTGGCGTCAGTGGGAGGAATAGTTCCCCATCGTTGGCGTCAGTGGGAGGAATAGTTCCCCATCGTTCAGGGGAGGAATAGTGCCCCATCATTGTGTCAGTGGGAGGAATAGTGCCCCATCGTTGGTGTCAGTGGGAGGAATGCCCCATCATGTTCGTTGGAGGAACCCTATCGTTGGTGTCAGTGGGAGGAATAGTGCCCCATCGTTGGTGTCAGTGGGAGGAATAGTGCCCCATCATTGGTGTCAGTGGGAGGAATAGTGCCCCATCATTGGTGTCAGTGGGAGGAACCGTGCCCCGTCGTTGGCATGGCGTCATCAGTGGGAGGAACCGTGCCCCGTCGTTGGCGTCAGTGGGAGGAACCGTGCCCCGTCGTTGGCGTCAGTGGGAGGAACCGTGCACATCATTAGTGTCAGTGGGAGGAACAGTGTCCTAAGGGCCGGTTAAAAACTATCAAAGGGACACAGTTTGGAGACCACTGATCTAAGCCAAAATATGAGAACCTGTCCAGTCTCCACACAGTCTCGGCTTCCTCCTCTCCCTGGGTGCCATGATGGTGGTATGAGAGATTTTATATCTTCAGCAATATCTTAGAGGATGGCTTCCCCCGCAGGACTGCATGTCAGCAATTTACTGACAGCTGTCTGTTGTTCCCCTTTAAGTGCCTAAGAAAAACTAGCTTTGCAGAGCTGTCCGTCACATGGGACGGTGATCAATAACGCTCTCGCCATAATCACCTTTGTTACGGCGATCAATATTTTTAATAACATTTCACTGTTACGGACATCAGACACTTGGCGGTGGTGTGAATGGATCTTTAGAAGTTTCGTTGGTTGGTCGCCCCCCTCGCAGCTTTATGCAGGCATGATGTCAGAACCGAAGGCTTTCTGATCGCCTGGGACCTTCCAGCCTCTTACCGACTGTACTTTGTGTGACGGTCTATCTTCCTGAGAGCATCAAGGACTGGAGGGAGACTCGGCACTGTGGCTTCCCTAGCTGAGCATCATGGGAGATTTTATCTATGGAGAGGATAGATTTATAGCACAGGACACCTGAGCGCCATATTCATAAACCTGAAACAGCGGCACGTTTTCCAAGACACGGCTTATGTCTTGGATGCCTTTGCTGCTCAAAAAGGCATCAGGATTGACTGTAGTCTTGTCCTGCGGTCCCTCCCGCTGATCGCAGACCGCCATTCCAATCGATGGCGTGCGTGAAACAAGCAGCACATGCTCAGCCTTCCAAATATAGGCCGCTGCATACAGTGCAAAGCGTTCTAAAAATAGAAATTCTCCAGTATGAAAGACATCTTCAGAAATATCCGTCCGTGCTCCAGCACCCCCAGGATTCCTGGATGGCAGGCTTCGCCGTGTGGAAATAAACGCACTCCAGCTACCAGCTCGCCCTCCTGTGTTTCCAGTCTTCAAATGTTCTCTGATTAATGGACTGATTTAATGTAAACTGATTCTAGTAAACAGTCCAAAACGTGTCGCTTCCAAGTCTTCTGTTTGTGTCTGGAATAATGACTGCGCTCTCAGTACAAGGCGGCTTCCTTGTCATTAAAATGTTATAAAAAAATATAAAATAAATAATTTAGATGATTGGTTCGGTTTGCATGCAGATTTTGCACACTTACCCCCCTGGGGGGCCGGGTGCTGCACCCCCCTTTACCCCCCCCCTGGGGGCCGGGTGCTGCGCCCTTTACCCCCCTGGGGGCCGGGTGCCGCGCCCTTTACCCCCCCTGGGGCCCGGGCGCCGCACCCTTTACCCCCCCCCCCCTGGGGCCCGGGCGCCCCCCCCTGCCGCACCCTTTACCCCCCCTGGGGCCCGGGCGCCGCACCCTTTTACCCCCCCTGGGGCCCGGGCGCCGCACCCTTTACCCCCCCTGGGGCCCGGGCGCCGCACCCTTTACCCCCCCGGGGGCCCGGGCGCGCCGCACCCTTACCCCTGCAGCCAATGACACACACACATACTACTTGTGTGAATATTTCTGATCATGCTTATCATATTCCCTAATAATCTGAGATTTAGTGAGGATTTACCAGCAGTTATCACGTTTTGATCTTCAGTCACCTGATACAGATCTGCCAGATCGTTTTGCTACTGGCAAAGTAGCCTGTGTGTGAACCGCAAGTAGAAAACTCAGAGCCGCTGTGTGAATGCAGAGCATCCCCTCCCTCAGCGCCATTGTGTTCTGATGGGGAGCCTTGCCTGCTAGCAGGACACATTTATTACGATTACTGCCAGCTAGCCGCCAGCAGTAATCACATGTAAAAAAACAGGCTGGTTGTACCCCCGACTTGTGTTCTCAATAGAGCGCTGCGGTATATGTCAGCAATATATAAATGTGTGTGAGTGTGAGGGGACGTTGGAGTGTAAGCTCCCCTGGTGCAGAGACTGATGTGACTGGCTCAGTGTCCTTAATACAGCACTGCGGTATATGTCAGAGCCATATAATAGTGTGTGACTGTGGTTGGACATTGGTGTAAGCTCCTGTGGTGTTGAGATGATTTATAAATGGTTGTGCTCATATTTTTTATTTTCACTAATCCTATTTTTCTTAATTGCTTTCAGATTTCTGAAAATGGAAAGGAGACCCTGCCATCATGGTTACACTGGGACGATGAGATGTTGGAAGGACTTCCCTTGGAGGGTGATAAAGGAGTGTATGAAATTTCTGTGACAACATTTTTGGTGGCAGAAAATGGAACTTCCACACCACAGGCTGCAGATGTCTTCTCCATTGAGGTTCATCCTGAGGACCACAGCGAGCCACAGTCTGTTCGGGTGACGGGGCAAGAGACTAATGATGTGACACCTTTCCTTTGCGGCCCCGATGAGCCCATTACTATTCTCACCGTAATTCTGGATGCAGACCTGACAAAAATGACTCCTAAGGATAGAGTGGATGTTCTTAAGAGAATGCGAGACTTCTCTGAGGTTGAACTGTATCAGATGAAGTTAGTCCCTGTAGTGAATAACAGACTCTTTGACATGTCTGCTTTTATGGCTGGGCCTGGCAACGCTAAGAAAGTTGTTGAAAATGGTGCTTTGCTCTCTTGGAAGGTTGGCTGTTCTATGGATCAGAACAGCGTCCCCAACATCAGTTCTGTGGAGGTTCCAGCTAAAGAAGGCACAATGTCTGCTCAACTTGGCTATCCTGTTGTAGGATGGCACATTGCCAACAAAAAGCCACACACTCCTAAGCGGTTAAGACGACAGATTTACACTACCCCAACCCCTGTTACTGCCGTTGGGCCACCAACCAGTGCTGTCCATGAGCCTCCTGTTAGAATTGTTCCAACTCCCACTTCACCAGCTATTGCCCCTCCAACAGATACAACTGCTCCTCCAGTTCGTGAGCCCATTCCACTCCCTGGAAAGCCCACCATAACGATAAGAACCAGGGGCCCTATTATGCACACTCCAACACTTGGCCCGATCCACCCAACCAAATTGGAAACAACCAGTATATTCCCTGGGCCTGTTCGTCCAACAATGACAAGACCTTCATATATAGAACCGACAGCTGTGGTCACACCGCCTTCTGCTACCACCAAGAAACCCCGAGTGACCACCCTGAAACCTGCTACAGATTCTACTACTACCACAACCAAGAAGCCAACCAAAAAACCAAGGCCTCCTAAAACTACCAAAACACCGACAACAAAAGTCGAGACCACATCACCAAGCCGCACTCGGACCTCCACTAGTGGAATTCCACGAGCTTTTAACACCGAACCCAAACTCACAAATCACATTGATAAAGTTGTTGCTTGGGTGGGAACCTATTTTGAAGTGAAGATTCCACCTGACACATTCTACGATAAAGAAGATGGCACAACTGATAATTTAAGGCTTACTCTGGAGCCCAGGAAAAATGCAAGTGTACGCGACAAGACATGGGTGATACTCAATAGTGCCAGCCAAGTCATGTATGGTATGCCTGATGCCAGCCATGTAGGTGATCATGAGTACTACCTAAAAGCTACAGACAAAGGTGGTCTCACAGCAGTCGATGCTCTTGAAATCCAAGTCCGTAGTTTGTTTCTTAAAGATCCATCACCAGTGAAATTCACTGCGAAGCTTCAGGGAGACTATAATTCTGTGGCCAATGATATCACTAAGAAGATCCAGTTGGTGAAGAAGCTTGGCTTGGCATTTGGTGACAGGAACAGCAGCTCAGTCACCCTGCAGAACATCTCAAAAGGTTCCATTATTGTGGACTGGACCAATAACACCATACCGGTAGACCCTTGTCCTAAAGAGCACATTGAAGTAGTCGCAAGGAAGATTTATGATGAAAACGGCAAAGTAAGAGATCAGTTTCGCACAGCCTTGGAACCAGACTTTAAGCTTGAGAAAATTGACGTGTCACTTGCAGGCAGCTGTAGGAGCAAGAGTGACCTTTTCTCCATTCCTCTGACCCTTGAGGAGCAGATTGTCACCATTATCGCCCCTACTTTAGCTGCTGACCGAAATCCAGAAAAGAGCAGTGAGGACGACGTTTATCTTCATACTGTAATACCGGCTGTGGTTGTCGCTGCCATCCTGCTAATCGCCGGTATCATCGCCATGATTTGCTACCGTAAGAAACGGAAAGGCAAGCTTACCATAGAGGATCAGGCAACGTTTATTAAGAAGGGCGTCCCTATAATATTTGCGGATGAACTGGACGATTCCAAGCCACCTCCCTCCTCCAGCATGCCGCTGATCCTCAAGGAGGAGAAAGCCCCTCTACCGCCTCCAGAATACCCCAACCAGAACGTGCCAGAGACAATCCCCTTAAACCAGGACACCTTGGGGGAATACACGCCGCTAAGGGATGAGGACCCTAATGCCCCCCCTTACCAGCCTCCCCCACCTTTCACAGCACCCATGGAGGGTAAAGGCTCGCGCCCCAAGAACATGACCCCATACCGGTCACCACCCCCCCCATACGTACCCCCTTAATGAACGTTGTCCAAGTGGAGGGAGAGTCGGGGGCTTGGGAGTTCCTGACTGAACTTTTGTAGCCTGCAATCTACTGTCCAGACAACGGAAAGCATTGCTGTTATAAGCAAATTATCAAAGTTTTCTGGAAAACTGCTCTTTCTGCCCTGCTCCCTCACGGGCGGTGGAACGCATAGGACATCTGCCATTTTCATATTTGTGTTCATACGAGTGTGCGCCCACCTTTTTAGATTGCAGGCATGGAAGACTTACGGAAGACAGGGGACTTCCATTATACGCTGGGGTGGCCTTTGGTTCTCTGCTGTTTTTGCCTTTAACACTAACTGTATTTTGTTTTGTTTTTTTTTTTTTTTTTGTTTTACTTCTATCCACGTGTGTCTAGCTACAAAGTGTAACAAAGAGAGACGAAAAGGATATCCTAAAAAAAATTCAAACACTGTCAGAGAAAAAAAAACTTACCAAGTTTTTTATGTTTTTATATTTTTTAATCCATGATTATTTTATTTGTCATATGTGTTTGAGATGATTAACTTTACACCAAAATAGGCTCCAGCGATGCTTCAAAAAGTTGGGTTGGGCTGTGTTCTATGTCTAGAAACAAAGAATTGGTGTATTTTATGTCCTTTTTTTCATCTGCGGAGTGTGTCCGTGTGCTCAGATCCGCCTTTGATTTTCATGGTCAGGGACCTGGGCTGGTTGGTCAGCTGTGGTATTGGAAGTCCCAGCAGGCAAACTCTGCCATGTCTTGGCAGAAGTATAGTGTAGGCTGTCCCCAAGCCATGAATGGGTCACCTTTCCGGAAGATTGGGTGCTGAACACCAGCAGGGGCTCCATCCTGTACCCTACGGACTGCACAAATCCGAAGGAGAAGAGCAATTCTTCTGGACAATGTGAACCGAGAGTCCCTGCCTGGGACCTCCTCCTCTCATCCCACAAGCCTGGGCTTACCCGTGATTAAGGGCCAATGGCAGTAAAACTAAAACTCCTCTCTTACAATGGGGCTGCGGCCACATTGCAAGAGATACCTAGTCGTTTCTGTGTAGAGGATAGTCAAAGCAGATTTACTTGCCTGATCCTGTGCTCAGCCGGCACAGGGAGCTCCCCCATGCTCCAGCGGTGGTGACTGTCCCATTACGTCCTCCCATCGAGTGCAGGGCTATGGACTCTGTATTGATCTTGATGATGTCAGAGGACCTTAGGGTGCAGGGGAGAAGAGGCTTCCAGACCCGATCTAGCAGTGCAGAGGAGCCAGTAGTAGAGGGAGGTTGGGTAAGTAAAAAGTGCTTTTCCAAATCCTCTAGAGCTAAATGAGGAGTTTTTTTTATGTTTTTCTGGCATTCGGCTTAACAGCCTGCTGACCGCTCACAGTAAATATACTGCGACCGGGCCGCGGGTGCAGGCTTGGCAACGTTCATGTATGTTGCCGGCTTGCTCCCGGGTTTGGCGTGCGCATGCCGACCCATGCTGTAATTTGACGCAGCACATGTTTAGCAGATTTCAGCCAATGATTTTGTCTGAATCCTGCTGATTGGCTGTGTCCAGTCACACAGAGTTCTGTGTTTACAAGTGTACAGTGAACAGCAATCTGGCTATATCTTCTCCCTGAAAAGCAGGGAGTAAAAACAGCCAGATCAGTAAAAGCAGCACATATTACTCATTGTCAGGTACACAGTTAACCCCTTGATGTTAAGCCAGTGTCAGTAGTACAGGGTCAATGTACAGTATTATCAATGTATTAGTGTCACTAGCAACATCAGTGTTTGTTAGCACCAGATTACCCGCCACCCTATGACAGTCCCTCTCTATGTTGCTGATCACCACCATTACAGTATAGCGTCTATAGCTGTAAATTTCAGTATATACACACACTGTAGTGTGTAGACGCTATGCCTTGGATACAAACCAATCCAGATACACTTATTGGGATTTTTTTTTTCTACCAGAGACAGAATACATTTTGGCCTAAATTTTTTAAGAAATTAGATTTTTTGATTGGATATTTTTTATAACCAAAAGGAAAAAATATTGGGCGGGTTTTTTCACAATTTTTAATTTTTTTTTTTCCATTTTATATAATACCAAAAAAAGCTTAGTGTGGAAAAAAAAAAAGATGTAAATATTTAATTTGTGTACAGTGTTGCATGACCATGCAATTACCAGTTAAAGTAGCACAGTGATGAATAGCAAAAATAAAATGGCCTGGTCATGAAGGGGGCAAAACATTCTGGAGGTAAAGTGGTTAACGCTCAGCCTAGTGAACGAAGCTCATCAGAGGAAAAAGTCTCAGTCAAGGAACTCTGTTCATGTTGTCTGGATAAATAAAGTTAGCAGCGTTTTATTTTGACGCTGTTCCTTTTGGATCTGTACCGCTGCAGCTCACCGGCCCATAGCTGCATCTGTAGTCCACCTCCTGATAAGCCAGTTATTTTTTTTTTTTCCTTTTTGAAACGCCGCCCTGGAGTTTATTTTGCGTAAATATGCGACCTTTCTATGTAGTGCTTTGATTTGATTTTTTTTTTTATCTTCCGCAGAAGATTTGCACCATGATCTCACCGCTGCCCTGATCACACACTATATATCTATATATAAATATACATATATAATATATTAAACGTTTGCTCCATCTAACACACTCTGGTGCTCTCCCAGCGAGGCGACGATTTAAGCAATCACTCATTTTTTTTTTTTTTTAAACAAACAAAAAAAAAAAGTTTTTGATACAGCCTCAAATTGTTTTATTTAAAAAAAGAAAAAAAAAAAAAAGATAAAATGGTAACGCTACTAGCGGTTTGTGTAATCTCGGCTTTGGCGTTACACGTTGATCACCGTTCTGCCGTTTTTTGCTTCTCGTGCATCTTCCAGCCATTTTTTTTTTTTTTTTTTTTTTTTGTTCCTTTATAATAATTTGATGTATTTATCGTCATTTTGTAGGCAGTCTGTGACTAAATAATCCTTCTTATGCTTTCACCCTGAGACGATAATTGTTGAACACGGTCTGTGCTGATGGTGGTTTTACTTCATTTTATAATATCACTGAGATGGAAGAAAAAAAAAAACTTTTTGCAATAATGTTTAATGCCTTTTTGAGTTGGATGTTGGCAAATCATACAATACACACTGAAGCCATACTGAATGTCCAGCGTGTGGTGTGCATTGTGAGCGTCGTCCCGCCACACCCCCCCCCCCCCCCCCCCCCCCAGTGGACGGTGGCGTCACAAGATAAAGTGGGAGACCTTTCCCAAAGATGGGAATTCTGTTTTGTACAAATGTCACTCCCCACTCGAGTCTGTTTTATACAGAAACCCAAAACGAATTCCATTGTGACATCCTGGAGTGGATTATATTGCCCTGAAGGTGTGTTTACTGGAACTAGGTGAGCGTGGTTTGATGGTGGTTGGATAATACAGAGGTGGTTTTATCATTCTGCCCCCATCCTGTGTGGTGATGGTCGTTCTGTGTGTCTGGGTTCTATGTGATAAGCTGGTTGCTCTCTTAGAGAGGTCATGGCCATCCTGTGATCACAGCGGCACTTCCCTTATCCATGCACTAGGCGTAGTGCATTTCTGTGATTTCACTTTCTATATATTGGTCGGGTCTTCACAATGGCTGCCTCTGTTATGCCATTCAATGGCCCTCTTTAAGGGCTTGTTTACGCTTGTTTCAAAATACGGCATTGCACATGCTTTCTTTTTTTAGAGCGCTCTGAATGCCAATCAAAGCAGCGGTCACTAAATAAAATGGTTACCTTACAGTCCTGTTTACATGTTTCGTTG